TTAAAAAAAAAATTTAAATTGGGTTTCTATAAGGTCTATATAGTTCAGTTGGTTGTTAATGTCTCAAGTTTCTATTTAACTATAAGTTTCCTTTCGTTTCTTTTTTTATTAGTACTGAAGAAAATGTTCTTTTGTCTTATAGAGTTTTCTCCAGTGTGGATTTTGTTCATTGTATCCCCGTGGAATCATTTAACAATGCTTGTTTGTGCTCTGTATTTCCTTAATCAGAATCATTTGATTGGGGGTGAGTGGGAGGCAAGACTACTTTACAGCAGTGTTGTGTTCCACCAAGAGGTACATAAGGGTCTTCTGTCTCTTGTTTTGTGTGATGGTAGCCAATGATGAACTTTACATTGATCCATTAAGTAATTAGGAGTTGCAAAATGCTGGGGTCCCTGGATGGCTCAGTCAGTTGGGTGTCCGACTTTGGCTCAGGTCGAGGTCTTGCGGTCTATGAGTTTGAGCCCTGCATTGGGCTCTGTGCTGAGAGGGATCAGGGCCTGGACCCTGCTTTGGATTCTGTGTCCCCCTCTCTCTCTGTACTCTCCTGCTCTCTGTCTCTCTGTCTTTCTCTTCTCAAAAATAAACATTGAAAAAAAATTTTTTTAAGGAACTACAAAATGCTAATATTTAATTCTGTCATTTCTATCTCATGTTTTTTAGGTGGAATATGTCTATAAAAAGAAACTTCCTTTTCTCAACAGTATGATTACCTTGAGATATAATTTAAAATACTAAGACTTTTAGGGGAACCTGGGTGGCTCAGTTGGTTAAGCGTCCGACTTTGGCTCAGGTCATGATCTCACAATTCCTGGGTTCGAGCCCCTCATCAAGCTCTCTGCTGTCAGCACAGAGCCATTTTGGATCTCTTTCACCTTCTCTTTCTGCCCCTCCTCCACTCAATTTCTCTCTCTCTCTCTCTCTTTCTTTCTCTCAAAATAAATAAACTTAAAAAACTTACTAAGACCTTTAGATACAATGGAACGAGGGAGTCAGTTTCATAAAAGATAGATAAGACAAACCAATAGGTTATGAGAGTCAAAGGTAGATAATGAGTTTACCAATGCCTTTGAAGTAAATTTCTAAAACTTAGCAACATCTTTACAAATATTCAAAACATTAAAATTGTATCGGAATATAAATCTTCAACTAAAAACTCTAACATTTAAAAATAAGACTTAGGAAATCAATTCTTAGTACAAAAAAGTTGGTCAAGCTAATATTCATTTCCACGGTATATATCAATTTTTTTTTTTAAACGTTTATTTATTTTTGGGACAGAGAGAGACAGAGCATGAACAGGGGAGGGGCAGAGAGAGAGGGAGACACAGAATCGGAAACAGGCTCCAGGCTCTGAGCCATCAGCCCAGAGCCTGACGCGGGGCTCGAACTCACGGACCGCGAGATCGTGACCTGGCTGAAGTCGGACGCTTAACCGACTGCGCCACCCAGGCGCCCCTATATCAATTTTTATAAACAAACAAATATCTTTTTTTAAAAATCATCAGGCAGCAAAATGCATACCCCACATTGGACCAAAATATCTTGTGTCCTATCATAATAAACTACTGAGCTTCCCCTTTCCTTCCATTGTGATTCCTCTTCCGGTATCTTTTAGTGGTTTCTCCCTTGCTTTCTCCAGGCCCTTGTCATTAACTGGACCTATTTCAGAACTGAAGTTTTAGAATACTGTCTTCAGCAAATGAAGTAAAAATTGTGTTCCATGTTACCAATTCTAAAAAGAGTGAGAATCCTGAGCCTGAAGACCAGGATACCCTTATCTGGTCCTAGTATGGAGACACAGGAAAGGAATCTGGGTCTAGAAACAGGTAGTTACATACATTGTTCCAATAAAATAAACAGTATTTAATACTTGGCATCATCTAGACAGCATTTATGTTATCAACAGAACTACTTTTATTACTCTCTGCTCTATGTTATATTAACGAAATAATCCCAATTTAGAAAAGAAGTCACCAAAATTTGTCCTTCTTCAGGAAAAAAAAAGAAGCCAAACTCTTTTTTTTAATGAGGCTGAAGAATTTGAATGAGACAGAATAATGAGTTTGCTAATGATCAAGATTTCTTAAATACTGAAATTCATTCCTGAGTTAGATTTTAGAGTCTATTTTGATGGATGTATTCGAAATAGGCTAAACATTTGTATTCCAACATCAGGCAAAAGCGTGTGTTCCTCTCTTATAACACTTCTTGCTAGTGGTTGTTTTCTGGATTTGTCTTTCCTCTTCTTGGAATGGTCAAATCTAGGATTTGGGTTTGAGTTTTTGGGTAAGTAGTCCTGCTCAGGCCTAGGCAAAAGGCCCTTCAGTAGTTTATTCTAGACTCCTGGAGTTGCAGAGGGGTATCTATTTCCTGTGCACGGAGTGGGGGAGGTGGGCAAGTCTGGGAAGGCAAAAGAAGTTCTCAGTCAAAAGAAAAAACGGAGAAGCTTGGGTAGGTCAGTCGATTGAGTATTCAACTCTTGATTTCGGCTCAGGTCATGATCCCAAGGGTTATGGGGTATAAGGCTCACTTCACTGAGTATGGAGCCTGCTTAGGATTCTCTCTCTCTCCCTCTCTCTGCCTCTCTCCCCCTGCTCATGTGTGTGCATGGTCTCTTTCTCTCTCTCTCAAAAATTTTTTTTAAATAAATAAATAAAAGAAAAAACAGACCAAAGTTCTTTTAGCTCAGAAAAAAACATGTGGTGGTGGAGTTGGAAGTGTGGGGGAAATTTGGAAATTAGACAAATTTGCTATTGATTTGAATTAAAATAAAAATTAAGGTTGGATAAATTCTTCCTCCTGAAGAATCTAGAAAGACAAGGCAGTAACATGTACTCATGGGTGATTATTAGGAGGGGAGTAGTTTATTTTTTTTTTCAACGTTTTTATTTATGTATGGGACAGACAGAGACAGAGCTTGAACGGGGGAGGGGCAGAGAGAGAGGGAGACACAGAATCGGAAACAGGCTCCAGGCTCCGAGCCATCAGCCCAGAGCCTGACGCTGGGCTCAAACTCGCGGACCGCGAGATCGTGACCTGGCTGAAGTCGGACGCTTAACCGACTGCGCCACCCAGGCGCCCCAGGAGGGGAGTAGTTTAAATCAGTTTATTTAGATGGGAAAGGGAGGAACTTAAAAGGGGAATTCTTTTTCTCTTAAGTTTTACTTCCTTTTAAACAGCCATCTGTCATGTGTTCTATCTAGTTTGAGAGGAGATTGCCAATTGCTCCCTATCTTTTTCTTATCCTTTTTGAGGACTTAGCTCAGTAAGTTAAAATGATTAACTTTTTATGAGACAAATGGGACCTTTGATGATCTCTAGAGGAAGAATAACTGGTCTAGGGCAGGATTTGGGTTTTCTTGGCCCAAGGTTGATCCCAACTTAATTTTGCTGCAAACTAATCCCAAGAATGGATTGAGATGTTTGGGATACTGTCTCTCGGCTAAACATTACACTTAATCTTAAAATCTATTGCTCCCCAACCCCTCGCCACTTTAGGTAACTCCTGGGATTCTGAGCGCCTTTTCCTACATCTGCACTGCTCAAATTTTAAAAAGTTAACATGTTTTATTTTTGTGAAAACAACCACTTAAAAAAAAACAACTAAAGAAGACTATAATGAAATCTTACCTAACTAGAATTAGTTCAGTTTGTTTGTGAGTAGAAAGGAAACAGGGTAGAAGCTATATAAACTTTTTTTTAAGTTTATTTATTTATTTTGAGAGAGAGAATGAGCACAAGCAGAGGAGGAACAGAGAGAGAGGGAGAGGGAGAGAATCCTAAGCAGGCTCTGCACTGTTAGCACAGAGCCCAGTTCGGGGTTCAAACTCCAGAACCGTGAGATCATGACCTGAGCCAAAATCAAGAGTCGGATGCCCAACTGACTGAGTCACCCAGGCACCCCTATAAACTTTTAAGTTCAATTCTGTAGTAGGGTGGTAAAAGCAACTCACAAATTAGGTGAAAAACAAAAAGTTTATGACAAAAATACCAAGATTTAGGGAAGGACCTTAGAGAAAAGGTTTATAGTCTGAATAGGGAGGAAGCAGATGAGACATAAACACTGCTGTGTGTTCAGAAGTAGAGCCTGACAAAGCTAAAACACTTTCTAAATATTAACTTTTGCTCTGAGTCAGTAATCCTCTGATAGGCACATCAGTATATCAAATGGTAAAGCAAAACAAAAGATAAAATTATTTGCCCATGCCCAGAAATAAAATTCAGGAATAGATAATCTCCTCCTGTGCTTCTTTGCCCTTTACTGTAGCAGCATAAACAGGCTGCAAGTGCCCCTGTGGGTGTCTCAGGGAAAGTAAATTGGTTACCAGTGCTCTGTAATAGCTAGGAATGTGGAAGCTGAGGCCAAACTAATAGTAGACAAGTTAGATCAGAACCAACTCTAAGCCTAAAAAAGTTTTTTGAGTATCACTCTTCTTGTGCAAGATGAAAGATTATATTTTTAAAGGGCCATTCTACCATGCCAGAATATTCTCATAAAGATTTTAAGAAGTGGGGCACCTGGGTGGCTCAGTCAGTTAAGCGTCCAACTTGGCTCAGGTCGTGATCTCATGGTTCTTGGGTTCCAGCCTGCATCAGGCTCTATGCTGACAGTTCAGAGCCAGGAGCCTGCTTCAGATTCTGTCTCTCTCTCTCTCTCTCTCTCTCTCTCTCTCTCTCCCTCCCTCTCTCCCTCCCTCTCTCTCTCTCTCTCTGTCTCTTTCTCTGCCCCTCCCCCACTCATCCTCTGTCTCTCTCAAAAATAAATAAACACTAAATAAAATTTTTTTAAAGATATTAAGAAGCCATTTTCCTGGAAATGAGAAGCTTTGGCTTTCTCTAGTGCCAAATCGTCTACTTTGGGGGAGACATGAATTAGGCCAGATGCTCCAGAAGAAAATGATCATTAAAGGATGAATTGGTAGATTTCTCTTTGTTGCCAGAAGTAAGGGGAAAGGAGTTATGGGGGGGTGTGTCAAAGACCTGTTTTTCCCTAGTAGGTGTGGAGTTTCCAGAAGAAACAAACAGATCTCCTCATCGCCTTTTATAAGCATAGAATTACAAAGTTAGAAGCAGCCATGCAGGAGGCACAGCAGACGGTGACCAGCCAGGAAAAGTAAGTGACAAATCAAATCACCAGAGAGCATTTTTTCTTTTAGAGAAGCTGTAGCCCTTATTTCCTTATGGTTGCAAAGCCTCGAAATTGCTGTATGTGTGTTTGTGTTTGTCTTGGGTAAATCAGGTACCAAATTTTTGGTCCCCTCAATCTCCATTTTGTTTTTCTCTTTCTTCCCTCAAGGGGCCCTGCTAACCTTATAGTTTTCCTCTTGTACTTCCTTGTCAAAAATTGCTTCTTTGGGGAGATGAGGCATAGCTTTTCAATATAAAGACGAGAGACAACATTTCAGATGTTACCTCCAGGAGGGCATATTTGGAAATCTTAAGCTAAAAGATGGAATCCTTGATGGAAGTTTTCAGACAGCAGCAGGCCAGGGGTATGTGTGGAAGGGAAATGGAACTGTGTGTAAACTCCTCTGAAATCATACCAAGTGACTGCTTATTTTGTCTACCTGATTCTTCTAGCCGTCAAACTCAGCTCCTATCTCCTGAATCCCTAGATCTCTGATAGAAATACCTTGTACAGTGGCAGGCATCTCTCTGTATTAACTAGATATTAACAATAAAAATCAGGGTTTTTTTTTATCCCATTGACCTGCTGGAGATGATTATTTCCATCTTTTGCCTAGAGAGCTGTCAGTCTTAAAGAAGGAGAATGGAGAACTGAAGAAATTTCTTGCCATCCTAAAGGTGAATGAAACAGATTTTCCTTACTATTATTTTCTCTCCTACTTTTCCCGTATATCCAATTGACATGTAGAATAGTGTTTCCTAACCTTTTTCACATCCTGGCATAAATAACTGATAATATTTGTACAAGTACACTCTGGTAAATGGTCGAGGCCCCAGAACACCTTGGACTGAAAGGATCAACATGTAACACTGGTAACCCATTCTCGAACATCAGTGAGTCAGGACATACCATTTGGGAAACTCTCTTATAGAAGAGACATCTATTATAACTTAAAATTTCTCTTTAAGAATCCCAAGGCACCTTGGGGCGCCTGGGTGGCTTGGTCGGTTAAGCGTCCGACTTCGGCTCAGGTCATGATCTCACTGTCCGTGAGTTCGAGCCCCACGTCGGGCTCTGTGCTGACAGCTCAGAGCCTGGAGCCTGTTTCAGATTCTGTGTCTCCCTCTCTCTCTGCTCCTCCCCTGTTCATGCTCTGTCTCTCTCTGTCTCAAAAATAAATAAACGTTAAAAAAAAAAATTAAAAAAAAAAAAAGAATCCCAAGGCACCAAAAAAAAAAAAAAAAAAAAAAAAAAAAAAGAATTCCAAGACACCTCAGGACCTTTCCTCTTCCTCCAATCCACCTCTATTTCCTAGACGTTTCTTTCTTCCTAAGAATGTTCTTTGTATTTATATAATTTTCCTATTGATCCTACTCCTGAAACTATTCTAGCACATTTATCCTGCCATTTTCCCTTCCCTCCCCCATAGACTCTCCATATTTTCCCAGGTAAATCAGTCTTCAGGATTCCCAATGTGTTTTTATGAAGAGTAACTAAATGTTTATCCTGCCAAAGCTAATAATTTCCTAGGGAAGCATTGCTGCTGTTTTTTCTCCTGCTGGGAATCTTAGCAATAACAGCTAGAGGACATTGCAGCTTAGTTATCTAGCAAGTAACATTCATTCGTTAGGACCTTTGAGCTGCAGCTTCCTTCACTCCCATTTTTTTCACTTACAGGAATCTCCAAATTGGTACCAAGGAAGCAGGTCAGTTTTATCAGGTCCCATACTAGCCCTGTTTGAAAATTGCTGTTTTTTCTTAACTCTAGGCTGAAACACACCTGTGTGGGCTGTAAGGTGGAGGAAATGGTTGATGAAGTTATCTTTCACTTCTCCAGTTACTCACAGAAAAGTGCTCAAGTAAAGTCTCGAATGTAATGTTCACTCTTATGAAATCCTACTCATCCTTCAAAATTCAACTCATATGTCACTTCCTGTGTCAAGACTTCACTAGGCAGAGTTCAATATTTTATTAATCATTTATTCAATAAATATTAATTGCCTATTGTTTATCAGGTGCCATATTAGGTGCTGTGTGTACATCACCAGTTAGTCTCATTGGTAATGTCCGTACCCTACCAACTATTAAATTATTTTTTTTTAATCTCAGCCCTGTTTTGGTGTGTTAAGAGACATGGTTCCTGCACCCACAGAAGTGACAGTCTAGTGTTCTTTCATGCTTCTGTACTTCTGATACACCAATTATAATACTTAAACATTGCTTTTATTTATCTTTTTATCTCTCCAACCTCTCAAATATAGGAACCTATTCTAGTTACATTTGTAATCTCAGGATCTAGGATGTATAAGCACTAAATAAATGCTTGTTGAAGAGATGGATGAGGGGATGGAAGGAGTGAGGGAATGATGGATTTATGCATGGATGAACAGGTGGATAGATACGTGTAAAACTGAGAGTACTTTGTAGGCCTTGAGGGAAAGAAGAAAGGAGAACTTCAAAATTTCTCCTATTACAGGCAGTAGAGAAGGTTTCACTTAGGAAATTAGAGAGCCAAGGAGTCTCATATGGAAACTTTGCCTCCATATTTTGCAGTGATACCTGTAATACATGATAGTAAGCAATTTGTGTGCTCAGAGAGTAAGCTGTTACTTCTATAAACAATGATCTGATTGATCCTCTTAGGGGGTACTTAACTTCTGCTGCTGCTTTTTTTTTTTTTTTTCCTTTCAGGTCAGCCACACCTCGACCAGTAGGCATTACTTCTCCATCACAGTCAGGTAGTGAACATTTTTTGCCCAAATACCTGTGTGAGGTGAATAAATATCCTTTTCCCATATGGAAGATAGTTCCCTCTCAGAGACTGTAATGTGATTTTCTAATCTTGTGTATGGTATGAAAAGATCATATAACCAGATACCCACTTGTGACAGATTGGGTAGGCAAGGCAGCGGGCACACCATTGATGGCTACTCTTCATACTTCACTTTATTCTCTTTCAGTTACTCCACGACCCAGTTCTCAGCACAGCAGCCAAGTGGTCAGGTGAGTAGACAGCCTACACAGCCATATTAAAACTGTTGGCAAGAGTTGGAATATGAAAGAAATACCTAGATATGGCAGAGATAGGGACTAAAGAGACTTTAGGTCTATGTAGAGTTTAACACCAGGTTTGTTTGTTTTCTTTCTGTCTCACCTTATACAGTCGATCCTCCTCAGTGGAGTCTGTCCCTTACAGAATGTCTGGATTTACTAGCTTGGGACAAGTAAGTGATACTTTACTTTCTCTTCCCAGAATGAGATTTCTAATGCTAAATGAAAGCAAAGATTTCTGGCAAAAATATTAACCTTATATTGGTTTTGGTATAAATTATCTGATGCCATGCCTGACTTTCTTTTCTTTTGGCAATGCAGCCCTGATGTTAGAAGCTAACACAGAGAATAAGTGGGGTGAAAGTAGTGGAAATGTTTAAAGACCGAGTTAATAGTAATAGTTCATTTTGGAAGTAATAAAGTGTGGATCCTCCTTGGACTACCATGCCCATTCTGGGAGAACAATATATGCTTCAATGCGCAGATATAGAGAAATAGCAAAGAATATGGAAGCCAGAGAATGGGGATGTATTTATTAATTGATGTTTATTGTTTGTCCATCAGGGAGTCAGAGGCCTACAAGGAAAAAGTACTCCCAGAGACTCATATATTGGTGAGAGGGGGGCTGGTAAAGGATCAGAAACCAACATATATTCAGTACAGATACCAGAAGATTTCTGGTTTACTCTGCATGTATAATGCCATTATGCATTTTCTGTGCATAATATAAGGCAATTAATTTTTTTCCAGACACTGACTGATTCCAGGTATCCAGAGATATATTACTGATTTTCAAAGAATGATATTTCTGTTCTCAAACTGATAAGGAGAAACTTTTTTTGAGCAATGGAAAGTCATTGAAAGCCTCTGGTCAAGAGATAGGGGAGATAGTCTCTGGTCAAGAGACACCCAGGTGTCTCAGTCAGTTAAGGTCACAATCTCACAGCTTTGTGCTGAAAGCTCAGAGCCTGCTCAGGATTCTCTCTCTTCCTCTCTCTCTCTGCGCCTCCCCTGCTTGTGATCTGTCTCTCTCTCTCAAAATAAGTAAATAAAGAGAGAGATGGGATAACTTGAGTAAAATAGATTTGGATTTTTAAAATTGCCACAAGATGGCAGTAGAAGTTAGGTCTAAAAGATGCCCGTTGTGTTAGCCTGAAGGGGAATCCAGCTTCTTCACTATGTATTAAAAATTCCAGTGAAGGGTACTCACTTAATTTCTTGTCTCTTTCCTCTTAGAACTATTATTGTTATTACTATTTTCAAGGGCATTATCCAGTCCATAGAGAATACTTATCAGAGAGGATTTCCCTTTCACAAGAGGCAGGGGTGAAATTTGCACATTTCTTTCTGTATAATCATTTTTGAAAATCACCAAAATAGTTTCCCTCCAATTCTTTCATATTCACGCTTTAAAAAATGTAGAAGTCCTAGAAAATTTATTTCTGTCAGGTTAATAGTAATATTTTCTATTTTGTTCCTGATTTTAGTTATTTGAAGCTTTCTACTCTTTTCTTGTAGAAAAAAGTTGGCTGAAGACTAGCCAATCTAGTTGAACATTTCAAAGAACCTACTTTTGGTTTTGTTGATTTTCTCTGTTTTTCTATTCTCTATTTCATTTATTTCTGCTCTAAGCTTTATATCTTTCCTTCTGCTTATTTTGAGTTTAGTTCTTTTTTTAGTTTCATAAGATAAAAGGTTGGATTATTGATTTGAGATGTGCTTTTTAAATGTAGACATTTTTAGTTATAAATTTCACACTAAGCACTGCTTTCATTGCATCCTAAAAGGTTAAGTATTTTCTGGTTTTGTTTTCACTCATCTCAAAGTATTTTCTAGTTTCTTTTGTGATTTTTTTTTCTTTGAACCATTGTTTTTTTTTGGCAGTGTGTTGTTTAATGTTAACATATTTTGAATTTCACAAATTTCCTCCTGTTACTGATTTTTAGTTTCATTTCATTGTGGTTGGACGAAATACTTTGTATGATTTAAAATATATGGCCTAACAGATGGTTTATCTTGGGGAATGTTCCATGTACACTTTAGAAGAATGTGTATTCTGCTGTTATTGGGTGGAGTGTTTGTTCTAAAGAAGTCTTTAGATTTAGTTGGTATATAATGTTGTTCAAATCTTCTATTCCATTGCTGATCTTCTGTCTAGTTGTTCTATTCATTATTGAAAGTGGAATATTGAAGATTCCAATAGTTTCTCTCCAGTTCTCTTCAATTCTGTCAGTTTTTGCTTCTTGTATTTTAGAACTCTGTTGTTAGATGAATATATGTTTATAAGTGTTGTATCTTCTTGATGGGCTGACCCTTTTACCATTTGACCTTTGTCTCAAAGTGCATTTGTCTGATATAAGTCACTCTGCCCTCTTTTGTTTACAGTTTGCATGGAATATTTTTTCCATATTTTTACTTTCAACCTACATGTGTCTTTGAATTTAAGATGAGTGTTGTATAGATAGTGTATAGTTGGATCTTTTTTGTTCGTCATTCTGCTCCATTTCATTGTGCTGTTATCATAAATTACATCTGTATAAGTTGTATACTCATCAACACAAAGTTACAGTTTTATACAATTGTCTTTATAATCATATAGGAGAGGGGAACCTGGGTGGCTTAGTCGGTTGAGTGTCCGACTTCAGCTCAGGTCGTGATCTCATGGTTTTGTGAGTTTGAGCCCCTCATTGGGTTCTCTGCTGTCAGCCCAGAGCCCACTTCAGATCTTCTGTCCCCCTCTCTCTCTGCCCCTCCCCTGCTCATGCTCTCTCTCTCTCTCTCTCTCTCTCTCTCTCTCAAAAATGAATACATATTTAAAAAATCAGATAGGAGAAAAAAGTTACAAACAAAAATACACATATACTTTTGTATTTACCAATGTAATTGCCTTTGCCAGTGCTCTTTATTATTTCTTCATGAAGATCTGAGTTACTGTCCAGTGTCCTTTCAGGTAAGCCTGAAGGACTCCCTTTAGTGTTTCTTGTAAGGCAGATTTGATAGTGATGAATTCTCTCAGTTTTTGTTCACCTGGGAACGTCCTAATTTCTCCATCTTTGATGTTTATTTATTTTTGAGACAGAGAGTGTGAGTGCAAGGGGGGTGGGGTGGGTGGGAAGAGGATCCAAAGCAGACTCTGTGGTGAAGCAGAAAGCCCCATGTGGGGCTCAAACTCACAAACTGTGAGATCATGACCTGAGCTGAAGTTGGACACTCAACTGACTGAGCCACTCAGGCACCCCTTTCTCCATCTTTGAAGAATAGTTTTGCTGGATTTAAAATTTTTGGTTGACAGTCTTTCTTTTAGTATTCTGAATATGTTATCTGCCAGTGTTCTTGCTTCCCTGGTTTCTGAGGAGAAATCAATGCTAATTTTATTGAGAATCCCTTGCATGTTATAAGTGACTTCTTTCAAGTTTCTTTTTTTTTTTTTTTTTTTGGTCTTTGACTTTCAGTAGTTTATGATATGTCTAGGTGTGGATCTCTTCTTGGAGTTAAGTTGAGTTTTTTTCTTGGATAGCTAGATCAATTTTTTCATCTAATTTGGGAAGTTATCAGCCATTATTTCTTCAAATATTCTTTCTGTCCTGTTCCTCTTTTCTTCTTCTAGAACTCCCATTATGCATATGTTGATATACTTGATGGTATTTCACCAAGGTCTCTGAGGCTGTCTGTTCTTTCTTTTATTATTTTCTTTCCTCTTCCTCACTTATATAAGCCATAATGGCTTCAAATTTGCGATTTTTTCTTTGTCCCATGTTGTACTGACCTATGGGCCCCTCAGTAAAATTTTCATGCTTTGTTTTTACTATACTTTCCAATTTTATATTGCCTGGTTTCTTTAAATATATTTTGTCTTTGATGAGGCCCTGGGTGGCAGGTAGGTTAAGCGTTCGAGCTTCAGCTCAGGTCACGATCTCCACCCGGTCAGATAAAATTGACAGCCCAGTGGCGTAGGGGCCTCTGTGCTGACAGACTCGAGCCTGGAGCCTAGTTCCCGGATTCTGTAGCTCCCTCTCTCTTGCCCCTCCCTGTTCATGCTCTGCGTCTCTCTCTGTATCAAAAATAAACTTGCGTTGGGAGCCTGGGTGGCGCGATGATTAGTTAGCGTCCGACTTCAGCCAGGTCGCATCGCATCCGATCCATTGAGGATTCGGAGCCTTCGCCGGGAACTCATTGGCTGATGTGATCCCCGGAGCCTAGACCTTTTCGATTCTGTGTACTCCCTCTCTCTCTAGCCCCTCCCTGTTCATGCTCTGTCTCTCTCTATCTCCAAAAATACCAAAAAAAAAGTTGAAAAAAAAATTTTTTTTAAAAATAAATAAACGTTAAAAAAATTTAAATAGAGTAAGATTTAGCTTAGTTAAGTTTGGCGTCGACTTCAGCAAAGATCGCGATCTCCTTGGTCATGGACAGGCAGCGTGGACTCTGGAGCTGATATTTCAATTTTTGGGGCCTGTTTCTGATTATGTCTCTACTCTCTCTGCCCTCCCATTTCATGCTCTGTCTCTCTGTGTCCCAAAAATAAATAAATATAAAAAAAAATTTAAATATATTTTGTCTTTATTAGTATTCTCTATTTGTTGAGACACCATTCTCATACTTTAGTGCTTTAGACATGGTTTCCTAAGATATTTTAACATATTTAAAATACCAGATTTAAATGTTTGTCTAAAAAAAGTCTAGTCTGGGCTTAGTCCAATGTCTGGGCTTCCTCAAGGACAGTTTCTATTGATTGCTTTATTTCTTTATATGGGTCATACTTTCCTATTTGTTTGCATACCTCATAATTTTCTGTTGGAAACTGGACATTTAAAATAATGTAACAGGGCAACTATAGGAATCAGATTATTCCTCCTCCCCAGGGTTTTTTGATGTTGCTGTTTATAGTTAGTTAGTGACTCTTTAAAACTAAGTCTGTAAAATCTGTATTGTCAGGGCACCTGGCTGGCTCAGTCAGGTAAGCATCTGACTCTTGATTTCTGCTTGGATCATGATCTAATAGTTTGTGAGTTTGAGTACCACATTGGGCTCTGCACTGATGTTGCAGAGCCTGCTTGGAATTCTCTCTCCCTCTCTCTGCCCCTCCCCTGCTCGTGCTCTGTCTCTCAAAATAAATAAATCAATTAAAAAAAATCTGTATTGTCATGGAATGCCACCAAAGTCTCTATTCAGTTAGCTTAGTGGTAAGCTAATGATTGGACAGAGATTTCCCTTAAACACCTGGAACCAGTAAGTCTCTCAGTCTTTGCTGAAGGGTTGTGTGTGTGTGTGTGTGTGTGTGTGTGTGTGTGTGTGTGTGTTGGGGTTCACTTTCAGCACTTAGCCAGACAATTGAGAACTGTGCCTTAGCTTTCATCCTGCTTATATGACCTCAAGGTAAGAGATTAAGGCCTTTTCAGGTCTCTTCTGAGCATGCACATAGTCCTGCACATGCATATGGTCTAGATCCCAAGAACATGTTGTTTTCAGAGTTCTTACCAACTCATTCCCCATCTCTTCCATCTATGCTTTTTGGTTAGCCTATTGTTTGCCCCAATTAATATTCACATCCTCAGGCAACCTAAAGAAGTGCTTTTAATTGTTTACAACAAACACTCCTGGGGAAAAGGCTTTTCACACATGGTAAACTCTAAGCTCTAAGTCATGAGGAGTTTGTGCTACAAGTCAAGTCACATAAAGGCAGTCTTGCAAGTAGAGTCTTCCAGCAAACCACTGGACAGGTCAAGTGATTATTCTCTGGGAATGAGACTGTAAGAGTCCCAACCCCATTCCATCCCCACAGTGACTGCCAGAATGTTGGTTTTCAAGGCTACCATGGAGCTGGAGGAGAAATGGGAATGGGGCAAGTTAAAATGCCAGAAAATTCACTCTTCTTAGCTTCATTTGGCTATTTTTTCTGGAATAACCATTCCCCAGACTGTTGCAAGGCTTTTGTTAATTTCTGGAGTTCTGAAAAAATTGGTTCTGACAATTTTTGCTAGGTTTCTCTTTCCTCTTATGGAGAGAATTTTTGGAGGTCCTTATGCCACCGTTTTTGCTGTCACTCCCAACCAATTTAATGACCCTTTGTCTTTAGCCATTCTTCCTAGTAATCCCCATCTTAGAGGGGAAACCAAGACACAGATACATTAGAACACATCAAGGCAGTACTGGGTCCTGGCCCACAAATCCATGAGAGGGAGGAAAGCAACTTTCACTGCTAGCTGATTTGTGAGGTTTTTTTACTTGTTGTTAGTCCCTAAGCCTAACATATACACTAAAAATCTTTGGTCCCCAATTTCTTTCCCTGGCCCCAAGTATACCTGAATAAATCTCTTCTCCAGCTCATGGGTTATCTCACAGGCTGACTTTTATGTTTTCCAGAAACCCCTTCACCAGCTTCCACTCACAGCCTATCTTATAGGTAAGTAGCACTGTGCTGCCTTTCACTTGGGATCTGTTCACACGGACACTCTGCTAGCAGCCCTGGGGTTACTTCTACTAGCCTATACCCCTGATATTTATAAATCTACCTTGTAAACAAGAGAGCATTGAATAGTACTGTGTCTAATATACATCAGAATTATTTTATTTTTAGTTGCAAGCAGGGGATTTATTTCCTGTCTTGTCTAAATATATAGGCTGTCCCTTTAAATATGCTTTTTACCTTAACCTTCGTTTTCTTTGCTGATGCTTTTATTTTCCCTCCTTAGGCCTTCACCTGCCTCTTCTGGACAGGGGATTTTTTCTTTCAGACCATCCCTAAATGGTGGGGATTCAGGCCACACAAGAGCCCTTACCCCCAGTAATTCAGGTATGTTAAATGTCATTCCCAAAGGAATGGAACTTCAATCATTGACATGTATACTAAAATGAGGATTTTCAAGGTGAAAGAAGTTAGGAAAAGAATGACTTTATAGCATGCCTCTTAAATTGCTTAGCTAAGTCTTTTTCCCTTCTGAGTGGTGTTCTACAGATTAAGACCTACCTATTTACCCTGACCCATAAGTAACATTGCCAAAGAACTGCCCAAGGAAGTTATCTTTCACCATTCCAATTCTGTCCTTCAGGTCAGAGGGAAAGCAGAACCCCACTAGAGAGTCTTCCTGGTTTCCAGCTACCAGTCCAGCAGGTGAGCCCTGGCTAGTCTAACTTGCCTGTGTATGAAAAACTTACATGGTTGGGCCTGTGCACAACATACCCTTTTGGTCTCCTCTTAAGGTGGTAAAATGTAACCAGTGGAGAATGATACGGGTTTCAAGTGTGGTAACCAAATGTTCACAATTTTCCAGAATGGTTTCAATTTCAAAGATTCTTTCCTACTATCAGATTAGCTTCCTGGTTTGGGGTTTAAAAATTAGGTCACATGGTAGCGAATGCCTTTAAACTGAGAGGTCTGGGCCAGTGTGAACTAAGTGCGTAGACACAACTGACATTCCCAGAAGCTCCACAAAAAAGTATTTCAATGGGGGCGCCTGGATGGCGCAGTCGGTTAAGCGTCCGACTTCAGCCAGGTCACGATCTCACGGTCCGTGAGTTCGAGCCCCGCGTCAGGCTCTGGGCTGATGGCTCGGAGCCTGGAGCCTGTTTCCGATTCTGTGTCTCCCTCTCTCTCTGCCCCTCCCCCGTTCATGCTCTGTCTCTGTCTGTCCCATAAATAAATAAAAACGTTGAAAAAAGTATTTCAATGGAATATATCTTTTGGATAGAGGTACTACTTGAACTAGGAAAAATCACATGTACTTCTCTAGAGATGGTTAGAATAAGGCTTTATAAATTTATGGGACTATGATATGTCAGCAACAAGAGGAAGAAGGCATGGGAATAAGGAGAGAGGTTTGTAAGGAGCTCTACATGCCAAGTCCAGTCTTGCCTTTTAAGTTAACTTTTATGGCCCAGGTTTTGAGGATATTTAGGCTCTTTTCCATGCCAAGCTCCTGGTGAGCCCAAGGACATACTAAGGTGGGTAAATATTTTGCTCTCATATTCCAAATGCCCTTTATTTTCATTGGCAAGGAATTAGGGTCTAAGCCGCAAGAGGCAACACTGGGGAAATAACATCCCTGAGATCCTTACAAATGGAGGGATTAACCTACAGATGAAAAAAGACTTAAGGGACATATAAACCAGCTGCAAACATATGGCCCCTATTGGAACCTGATTAAAACTGTATAACACACACACACACACACACACACACACACACAAACATACATTTATGAGAAAGTTGAAAACTGAATACCTGTTGGACATTTGATATTTTCTTTTTTTTAATGTTTATTTTTTATTTTTTGAGAGAGAAAGAGCACACACATGTGTGCAGTAAGGGAGGGGCAGAGAGATGGGGACAGAGCATCTGAAGCAGGCTCTGAGCTGACAGCAGGGGCTTGATCTAACTCACAAACCGTGAGATCTTTACCTGAAGTCAGACGCTTAACTGACTGAGTCACACAGGCACCCCAATATTAAGGAATTCTTAGTTTTTGTGTGTGGGCAGACTACTATTGTGGTTGTTTTTAAAAATAGTCTATCTTTTGGAGATACATACTAACATATTTAGAAATAGGAAGTTAAGGGATTGTCTGGGTTTTGCTTTAGTATATAATCTAGTGGACATGGGGCAGAGAGAGTAGAAATGAAAAAAATTGGCCATAAGCTATTTGTTGAAGTTGGGTGATGGATACTCATCAGTCCATTATACTACTTTACTTTTGTATTTTTTGAAAATTTCAGTAAGATTAAAAAAAAAAAAAAAGCTATTGAAGTTAAGTGCCACCTCCCCAGGGCATAAGAATCCTGCCTCCCTGGTAAGCACATTTCAGCATAGTAGTCATAGGTTCCAGGTCTTCCAAAGTAGTTCTTTAAATACTCTGCCTTATTATCACCATAAGCCACTCAGATGTTGTAGAGTTTCATAATTAGCAACAAAGGCTTTGTCACAGATGTATCAAATCTTAGTACAAATCTTGGAACAGTTATCATGCAATGGAGAAAACTATGGGGAAGCACAGTGGTGGTTTGCTGTCTTAATAAACTTCATAAAGTGGTTTAAGAGGGCCTTATTTGCCCTTTTTGTTATAAATGCCCATATCTGCCTTCCTGTCCTCTGCTGCAGACTCTGTACAAACAGAGACAGATGGGATTAGCCAGGGCAAGAGAAGCATGGACTACTTCCAGATAGATCGTCTTCAAGGTCCAATCCATATATATTGCTTAAGGAAGGCATATAGCATCCAATACTCATTAAGTGTGATGGTTTTGGAAAATGTTTCCCTGGTTTCTTTCCACATTTCACTGTGTACCCTTATCTGCTTTGTTCTTTACCATATACACCCTATATTACCTCCTAGGAAAACGATCAGCATTATATAAGGCTAGTTCTTCAGGAAGATGTTTAGATCTCTCCCACACTCATATGTAGCTCTCTCATTTCCTACAACTTAAAACAAATATTGTAAAAAAATTCTTGGCTCACTGGAGGTGCGAAATCATACACTTGTTAAGTATGTTTTATTTCTAGATTTCATTTTTTAAGCTTTGGATGTATTCACCTATTGCCAAAGCTAATAAACAACTCTGTTCCGTGTCCTAATTTATTATACTACTTCTGTTTGCCTATTGTTTCCTCTATGCCTAGTTAACTATGTTGATTTTCCTTTCTGTCTGATAACAGCTGGAGACCCAGACTTTCAGCTTACTAAAGTACACAGATAAAATAAAGATGTCCTTTTATTGTTATTGCAGCTCTATTGGTACTATATTACAAGCTCTAGAATGGTGGAATGGGCAAAGAACACCACCAGTGAGATGGAACATGTATTCTTCTTTGGGTATTAAAGAGTAGAAATGAGGAATTAAATGGGTTGGCCAGTGGCAGGCAGGCCATAAGCAAAAATTTTGAAAAAAAATATAAAGATAGCAAACATCTGCCAGAAATAAATGGAGTCCTGGGAATGACCATGAGGCTGAACTAGCATTCCCTACCCTTTCTGGAACTCTTGAGTTTATTTTTAAAGGTATTTCTAGACATCTTTTCTGGGAAGAGCCTGTCCTATAGCAGTATAGGAAACAAATCTTCCCAGTGATAAGATACTGATGTATTGCCTTTTAAAGTTTTATTCTTTTAACCTACCTCAATATAGCCTGATTCTTAAAAAAAAAAAAAAAAAAAAAAAAAGTATACTAAGTCAGAATGTTAATAGATTTGGCTCCATTAATTTCTAAACCATAGAAGTGGCAAAGTGGAGGAGAAACAATTTTATTTTTGGCCTTTTATTATTCTAGCAATTTGGGGCTTCCACTCTTATTTCTAGATGGTTAACCCATTGATATCTTTATATCTGACTCCAACTGATGAAAACCATTCTAAAACATCAATAATCAATTCAGTTAAGACCAGGGTCCCTCTGTCCCCAAGACAGATCCTATAAAGAGGGGAAAAAGTCTCTAGTATAGACACACATTGAGCCAACACCAAAAAGATGAAAAATTAGTCTTTGTCAAGCTAGGCAGGAGGAAGTTTCAGATTTGTAAAACCAAACCTGCAACCTACCTGCACCCACCTTCTGAACAGTAGAAATCATCCCTCTCTTCTATCCCTCTGTAACCTAATTCTACTTTTTAAAAGGACATTTCCCCCCAGTTCCCACATCCAATAAATATCCAGTCTAAATTATTCTCCACCCAATTATTAAACTTTTTCACAAGCTCCATGGGGAAGATTTACCCTGAGACAAATAGCGAACAGAATGAGGGATTTTGGAAAAAGATTAAAAAGTACAAGGCAAAATGGTCCCAGTATCAGAAGTGAAAACATTCTGCTACCTGTGCAACTCAGTAATGAAGCAGGGAAAACCCAGCATCAAGTTGGTGTGCATGAAGGAAATACCTGTAGTGAGACTGGGACACACTAAGACTCTCAGCTGTATTATGCACGGACTCGTGCTCAGAGAAGAAAGGGGTGTGAGGCAGCCTTATATTCCAGGGAAAATGGTGAGACTGGGGGATGCACTAGAATCATCAACTGAATCAAAATTCTTTACTCCTCCTTTCCAGTACTAAAGACGTGGGGCCAATGTCTGGCCTCTCCTTAGTACAATAAGGGGAAAGAACAGACATGAAGAGAGCAAGAACTGTTTCCCAGCCCATGGTTTGGACCAGATCCTTAGCACTCTCTTCACCGAGACTAAAGGCCTGATTTCTGCCCAACCAATCCTCACCTCTCTTTGGGTCCTATGGTCATCCTCCCTGGTCCACCCTCACTACATCCCCCATCCCCCAACCTCAAGAACACAAAGCTTTTTAGTTCTTTGCCACAAGGTAATTAAAAAAATGTGGTTTCTTTGTTTAAACAGTTACTAAGTTGGTTCATCTTTTAGTAACAGACCTCCCCTCCCCTCCCCCACCCCTCAGTCTTGTATGATCACATCATCATCCTCGTCATCATCTTCCTCCTCCTCCTCCTCTTCATCCTCATCATCTTCTGGCAGTTCCTCCTCCTCCTCCTCCTCCTCTTCTTCATCTAGACAAACCACCACCTCAGCTGGCTCAGGTAAACGAGAGTCAAACCAATCCAGTACCTGCTGGGTGCTAAGCCTTGATGCCTGACTCAGTTGAGGGATATCACTTTCCCGAAGCTGTTGGTGGGCTGCCCAGTACCTCTCCAAGGGTCGTATATCCGGTGGGGGTGGGGGGTTTGGCAAAGGTGGTGTCTCAGCCCATTCATTCAAGGAGCGGGTTGAAGGTGGGGGTGTGGGAATTGCTGGGTCCTGGAAACTAGGGGCACCAGGTACTGCGTTGTCCCGAAACCATTTTAGTTGCCCATGCTTCAAAGCATAGCGTGTGTCACCAAACCACTGAATAATCTCAGGCCGAGGTAAGCCAGTGATCTGTTCTAATTTATGGTAATCCTCACGCCGTGCCCATTGGCACTGTAAAAAGAAAGATTTGAGGATAGCCAGCTGCTCTTTGGTTTTGCGCTTGGTCTTTCGCTGGCGTTGCATATCTGGGGAAAGGTACTCTGCAGGGCCAACCCTACCTGGTACTGAGTTATGTCTTAGCCCCTGGGGCCAGGCTGGCTCCAGATGTGGGGGCAGTGCCTGTTCATTGGGTGACAGTGGCTGTGAAATACAGCCCAATGACTGGAGGGGTTTAGAGGTGGCAGTAGCTCCATTAGCCAGTACCTGGAAAGTGGAAGAGGTAGAGGAAGAAGAAGGAGTCATAATAGATGCTGACTCCTGCTTACAACTACTGGCAAGTAATGAGATTGGTGGGGGCTTATCCCGAGCACGTGGCTGGTGGACAGCTGTGGAGTGGTTCCAGGAAGCAGAACCTAGGCCATGTGACTGATTGGGACCCTTGCCTGCCTGCTCCTTAGAGAGGCCACTGCTTTGAAGATCCTGCCAAAAATCTGATTGGTGGGAGAATGTCCCACTGCCAGGTGCCATCAGGGGTTCCTTTGCTTTCTGGTGACTCAGCAGCTCTGAGGACTCCTCAGGCTCTACCTTCAATCCTTTCATCTGGGTAGGCTCGCTAAGAGTCAAGGGCACTATTCCAAGACCCATTTGTTCTGGAGGTGGCACTGGAGAAGGAGGCACCTCCTCAGGGGGCCGCCCTGCGTGATGAGTAAAAGAGAGAAGGGATTTGAAATGGAGCTGGTCCCGATGGTAGACCACTCGGGCTCGAGTCTCTTCTATTTCTTCAGATGACCAACTAATGCCGCAGCGGAGGCGCTGGGCCATGAACCAAGTCTTGACTTTTTCCATCTGCAGCCCATAGCGTAAGCAGAGAAGAGCAATGTCTGCTAGACTGGGATAGGGAAAGTAGCTGAAGGTTTGTAGCAAGTGTTCATTGCCATCCAGCTCACTGGTCTGGGCTGCCTGGGTCCACACAAGCTGTAGCTCCTCGGAGATTGGAGGGAGGCAGATGAGCCCCGCGGGGGAGCTATTAAGACTGCTGGCCTCTTTATTAGGAGGCATGGTGCTTTCTGACTTGTGCCCTTCAGAGATAGCTGTAATAAGAAGAGAAACAGCTCAATCACTGGGGCTCCTCTTTCAGCCCATTGCTCATTTTCTGCCAAACAAAATGTTGGACTCCAATACAATCAACTGTCTATTGTGTACTGTTTTGGATTGCTTTTAAAGTGCTTTAAAAAAATTTCTCATTTAGTTTTCATAACCTTAGGAGCCTGTTATAATTCCTATCATATGTATGGAAAAAAACGAAGTCCACAGAAGTTCATTACCCCAAGTCACGTGACTAGTGAAATCTGTCTTTAGAGGTTAAGGAGGAACACGCATCCTTATATTGCCTTTATTCTTCTGGTGCAAACTCACTTCACCCTCTAAGATCATGGAACAGGAGTCACAAAATGGAAACTCAACCACAAAAACATGAAGTGCAGTAATCTCAGAACTGATGCAAATGCTTTAGCTCCTGACAATTTATGATTACCTCTAGAATGTGGAGACAGGTGGGGAATCCAAGAGAGGAATTTCTAGAAGGCAGGACAGATAGTACTGTCCTTCTGCCTAGCCCCCACCCCCATTCCTTTTCTCTTCTTGGTGGTGAAGTCCTGCAGGCAGAGGAATGATAGTACCTTCAAGCCCTAAACCCAAATCTGCTAAGCTTTATTTTCTCTCTGTAGGATAATTGATAGATAGGGTATCTGGGATAAATGGGGTTACTCCCCCTGGGTCTTTGGGGGTAGAGAGAGGGAACTGTTTCCACCTCCAAGTCCTCCACGGAACAAAGGTTAGCCCCTCCCTCCCTCCCCCCCCACCCCCCCCAGCCTTTGTCTTCAACAGCTCAGTGTCTCTCAGGGGGAGTTGGGAAGAGCTCCTTCAGACTGTAACAGCTCCTCCACACAGGGCAGAGGGCCTGCAGCTCTTATCTCTGCAGCCCAGCTTTCTTCCCAGGGCCAGGTAGGCAGATTCATTAGGAATTGCAGCCAGGTCCTGCAAGCTCCCCAGCAGCACCACTGCTCCCAGGTCTGTGGATATGGGGGCTGCAGGGAGAGGCCCTGACTCTGGCCTTCCTGAAACACCTGCTTGGGTTATTTCCCAGAAAGTTCTGTTGACCAAATTTTAACTCAGCTCCCTGTCTGGGCATTAGAAATAGAAACTCTTTAACACATCTGTTACCCTTTCCACTTAGAGGAATCCCACCCGGGGTTTATAAATATTTACCTCTGATATGTTAAGGATGGGACAGGATTCCTATGTATATGCTACATGATGAACTGAGAAGAATCTCAAGCCCAGGAAGTTACAGTGCAGTGTGGTATCAAAGGATTTTATATGACGATTAGAAAAATTTGGTAGCATTTTGATGTGTCACCATTTCCTTTTAAAAAGCAGATCTAATGAACCGAAGGCCATGCAGATCCTAAAGGCTATACAGCTTGAAGAGAACGTTAAGAGGGTAAACAGAGACAGCATAGCATAGTGGATAGAAATATGATCCTTGAGTAAAGCCAACCTGCAGTTTGAATCCCAGTTCCGCCACTTACCAGCTATGTGATTTTGGACAAGTTGCTAAATGAGCTTTAGTTTCTTCATGTGTAAAAAATGCATACAGTGCCAAGTGTATGTAAAGTTATATATTTTTACCAAGCACCTACTATGCACTAGGTGTCCTGCGTAGGCAAGGCCTAAAGCAACTGTTGGGGTGGAGGCCTGGGGTGAGGCAGTTTTGAGATTAATTGCAGCTCCACCACTTCCCAGAATGCTGCTGTCCTTGGACAAATTATTTAACTTCACTAAGCCTCAGTTTCCCATCAGAAAAAAAGGAGGTCAGAACAGCACCTTCCTTGCAAGTTTATGACTAAATTAAAAAAAACGCAGTTGATATGATGCCTACAACAAAGTAAAGGCTCAACAAATAGCTTTCCTCATGACTTCAGCCTCACAGGGTGATTCTGATATATGGTAATGCTCCTTTTCTAGACACAAGGAGGGAAATGCAGCCAAGGCTGAATTCTTTAAAATCCTTGTTTTCTATCTGTTTTTGCAGGGTCCTAATTCTAATGAGCAGTGGAAGAAACTAGGGTATATATGATTTTATGCTTTCCGTATTTTGGGAGTTGGATAGAATTCCCGAATGGATTTTGTTGTTTAAAAAAAAAAAAAAAAAAGGATGAAAACAACAGCTTTAGGAGAATTGAATCCATAATTTGGATATAAATCCTTTTTGATTTCCAGATGAATTGCCAATTTAGTAGTAGCTCTACCTTCACCCTGTAGGTTCATCCCAGACACAGCTACATGGCCTATGAACAAATGCTTGCACAGCTAGGTGCTAAACTACCATTTAGACATTGTGGCCCACCAGGAACACCACCAATTTTAAGCTGGACAATACTTAATGACTGCAACACTTGACATCTACTAACCTTATTTGTGTCTTGTTTTTTAAGGACACAATAACATTTTAGATATGAGAAAAATGTAGCATAAGGAAGAAAGCAGTCCAGTGTAAGGATGAAGACTGCCAGACAGGAAATAAGGCAGGCACAGCTATAAGCCTTACAAGGAAGCATTTTGCTTTCATTCATGTGGGTTGCTATCCTCCAGATTCTCATGACATCAGTTTGATGTTTCAATATAACATGTAGTAATACAAATACCATATTTGGTGTACTGTATACATCCAGTTTTCCAATTACACAAAACACAAATTGTGGAAGACTTCCTGATATAGAATGGTGGCTTAAATTAAGGCACAGCTGTATAGCTACCTGGTGCCTCCCTGGAAGAATCTGCTTTGGCATAGGAAGAAGCTACAATCAGAGAGTGGCTCATGAGAGGTATTAACAAAGAGAGTAGGCCCCACAGTAATCAAAACCACCATGAAGGCACTATGAGGTCTTGTGTTCTTGTGCCTCCATTTGGAGAGGTCAGAAAAAGAAGGGAAATCAAAACTGGAGAAAAAAGGACTCCTGTGGGCAGAGATGGTAGTAATGGTGGGATTATCAATTCTGAATAATTACTAAATTTGATCCTTATTGAATATGTTGGATTTGCCCTATTGCTACTTTAAGTAGCTAATAAAAAATATAATCAGAAAAACATAGAGAGAGGATATCACCCCTCTTTCCCTTTGGGCTTTCCATGCCCGTGGACAGATGGCAGAAAAGAATGGACTGCCTTAAACTTCATGTAGGTGTCCATACAATCCTAGGAAAAAGGTGTTTACAACTTTAGGCTTGATCTTATTAGGCTTATGGTTAAAGCAGGAGACAGTTGAAATGAGAGACTAGATATGATCCTGCATAAATTCCCTAAATCTTTATTCACAGAACTGCAGTGCTGCCTGAAATGTGTTTTGGTGATAGTTTTAAGGGCCTTAAAGAATTTTTAGTGGTATTCAACTTACATGTTTCTCAACTTTTTGGGTCATGAACTTCTTTGGGAATCAGATAAAGGTATGGACCCTCAGAAAGTTATGACTACCCGCCCCCCCCCCAATAAACATCCAAACATATATATATATATAATCTCAGAGGGCTCACTGCCCAGAAGCCCAGGTTACGAACCTCTGCCTTATGTCCTCCCAACTGAATAAAAAGGCAGTGGTGGTAATTGCTTAAAGAGTAACATACATCTTGATGTGAATGAATGGAAAGAGTGGATGGAAAGACTCAACAGAATTTAAATAGGTCTAGAAGGGACTGGATATTGGTGATACTAGTTGGAGATAGTGGAAGGGAGGGGTGTTCAGCTGGGCCAGGAGCCTGGCTTAAGTGACCCACTGGATTATATGACCAATACCCACAGTGTGCTACATCCTAGAGCCTGGTAGGCTACTCTCTAGTGTGCCAAAATCATCTGCTTCTTTCAGCTGCCCTGTGTGCTTGGGCCAAGTTGTATATGATTCCAAACCTGTTTATGCCTGTTTGTATTTTTTATTTATATAATAACATAATTAAATATCACATAAACCTATGAAAAACTAGTGCATTAAAGATTGTTTCTACGAAAACAAAGTCAAATGCTTTGGAAAGACATAACACAACGAGTGTACAATTGTTGAGTTGGGAATAGTAGGCAACTGTAAAAGATTGGAGGGGCAGGGGACTTAAAAATCTCAAAAGTATTCTACATTCAGATTGCTTCAAAAGTGTTTAAATTCTCACTCCATTTTAAATAAACCAAACCTGGAAATCATAGATGATGAGAGGCAGTGGCACATTAGAATTACCTGGGAAATTTAAACCAGGGAACCTTCCTCCTCATTCTGACTTAATTAGTCTGGACTGGGGCTCAGGCATCAGTACTTTTAAAAGTTCTCAGGGTGCAGCCAGATTTGAGATTTGCTTGTGTAGTTTATATCAGAAAGGCAGTTGGGAACTCCAGTCAGCAGACTTATAAAGAAAACGCCTGGATATTACCCCAAAAGATTGGTGAAATGAATATACTTTTAATGACAATGCTTAAGAGATGTATGCATCATTTAAAAAATTCCCAAGTTTAACTGGCTTTTTTTTTTTTTTTCCCCAATCATTGCCATCTACCTGTCCTAATCATATAATATAAAAGGGCTTCAAATGTATGGTGAGAAGGAGGTTTGTATGTAAAAGATCTCCTGATCTGGGCCCACATTACCAAACAGGTCTCAGCTTGAGTCTTCTTTCAGTTTAGAAGTCTCATATTAGGACGCAAAACCAGGAACCTCTGAGGATTTGGGTTCTTTTACCTGGTTTGTTTTCTGAGTATGGCTGGGTAGGGGGGTCAGGGGCAGTTTCTCCCAAACCTTTCATTCCCAAAGACCACTGCTCCCCAGAAGTAAGGCCAGATTTCTGTGCGTGTGCTGAGGTCGCCAGGAGGTAGTCGTGGGGGGGAGGTGGAGGCCTGGGAAGGAAACGTTTCTCCTATCCTCCATTTCGCAGGCAGTCTACAAGGCTCCAAACTGGGTCAGAGAACAAAAAGTTGCTGCACTTGGGGCGATGAGCCCCAGGGAGCAGGCGAATCTCAATCCTCCCCTCGCCGAGACCGTCCCAATCCAGCCTTCCCCTCCTCCCTACACACCCACTCACCCTCCCCCAGTTACAACAGGGAACCGAAAAGTCCAGAGGAGAAAGAACCAGGCGACTTCGAGCCTAGAATCCTCCTCCCCCCAGCGCGGGGATGGGGCTCCGGAGGTCGGAGATCGTATAGGGGCTAGGAGGGGAAGTCGAAGGGGCTGGGGATCACTCACCGCGGTCCGGCCCGGGCGGCGGCTCCCAGCCTCGCACCATGGGCCGGGGGGAAAGGGGGAGAAAGGGCAGGGGGCCTCCGGGGTGGGAGTGGGGTTCCCGCCCGGTGCGGCCTGCTCCAAGCCCACCCGCGCGGAGGGCCGGGACCGGGACTGCCCCCCCTGTCCCCGAGAGCGCGCCCGTCTAAGCCCAACCCTGCTCGAGCGAGTTGGGGGCGGGGCGGATGGGTGGGGGGGTGCTCCAGGGGCGGTGCCAAGGTGGCCCGAGTCCGGATTGGTAGACGCAGGCAGGCGGACACTGGCGGAACGCACTGGGCCGACCATTGGCTGCGTGAGTCTCGGCTGAAGTCGGCTATTGGCTGCGTCGGCTTCAGCCGGGGTGGCTATTGGCTGCGTGGGGCAGGGAAGATGTCCCCCGGGGCCAGGGAGCTGTGAATGGTACCTCCCCCCGCCTTCGACCTTTCCGCGCCGGACCTTCGGAGCACTGCTAGCCCTGGTCGTCCCGAAATTCCCCTGGGAATTCACAGCAGTTTGTTGAATTGCCTTACAATTGTTCCCTATTTGTTCCTCCTGAAGGAAGACTTTTTTCAGCACCCCCTTGTCAGACTTACGCACGAGCTGAGCCGCGCCCGCCCAGCCGAGGGCCCAACCGCCGTCAGCAGCGTCGTTGTAAATGTAGCGCCTAGAGCAACCGGGAACTTGTTCTACAGATGGATCAAATGTCTTGCCACCTGAAAGACGAGGATCCTAGCTGTCCGGCGCCTTCGGAACACTGCACAGGTGTTCCCAAAGACGAAGTGTCAGAAGGGGGCACTTGTTTGGGACCTACCAGATCCCCAGGTCCCCTTTCTGTCCCAGTGAAGAGGACCTGGAACTCCACCTCATATCTGGGGACCTTGGTTTTCTCTTGTCTAGAAAGGGATGGCAATGAAATGGACTTTTCACCAAAGTGGTAGTCCACACCCCGAAGTTCTGGGCCAAAAGTTTGTATATTTAGGAGTCTCCGTCTTCGACTAAAACTTGGGAATGGTACTTTCTGAAGTGATTCTTTTGTTCTCACGCTGGTCTTTGAAACTGTCTTCTTGCCTATTTAGGTCACTTAATAGCTTATATAGCCACAGTAATTTATAAAAAAATTTCAGACTTTGCCCTGTATTCCGCAGATAGACCTCACCCCTCTCTATATACTCCCCCAAAACACCACTACTCATTATTACTCCAATTTAAGGTCTAGAGCTCTTTCAAGGTTGTCAGACATCAGAAATTTATTTCCTAGAAAAGAAAGAAAGAAAGAAAAAGAAAGAAAGAAAGAAAGAATTTATTTCCTCTTCAGCATTGAGCCCTATTTTATGTTACTATCCCTGTGTTTACCCCTGCCTGCCCCCAGCCCCATTACATTTAATAAAACTAAACTTCTAAGAGCCAGCCCTACATCCTTCAAACTAGTATCCGGCAAAAACATCATAGGAGTAAAAAAAGCAAAGATATATATACTCAGCTTTAGAGTTAGAAACTTCTGATCCCTCAGGGTTTAAGCCAGGGCTGGTGGTATATACAAAGTTTGTCCTAAATCATGACTACTACAATGCCCCGATGGTTTGTAAGTGATGAAAGGAAAAGTGAAACATTGTAGGCAGCAGCAGCCCTCAGTTTTCAGTGTAGAGGTTGTTCTTTCATAATCTAAAAAAATAACAAGACTGGGTTGTCTGGTTGACATGCTTATCTGGCTGGAAAGTCAGGCAGGCAACGTCTGTGGGAACATAGTGCCAGTCCCTAGAGGATTCAATTAGGCATTCTGGGCATCACTGATCATGGGCTTGGAAATATGAAACGTGGGCAAATGTGCCACCTTTCAATTCTCAGAAACACGCTCCTGAGACAGAAGTAGGGAGCAGAATTGAAGACAGGTTTAGGAGAAGGAAAATCCAAGGACAGAAGAAACTCCTCTGCCCTAGTTTGGGAGTACAGGCTGAAGCCTCCCTCTTTGATGTGGATTTCACCCTAAAGCTTTAGAAGATGGAGTGTCCTGTGGTGGGGATTGGAAGAGAGGAAGAGATCCAGGCTGACAATATCAGAGAAAGGAGGGCCTCACCTTTAGCAAGACACTAACCCTCCCAGCTCTTCCTGGGACTAGTGCAGAAGAGTGGGGACTCATGTTATCCTCAATGTAGAGATGTTAATCCCCCATCTTTGGTGAAAATTCTGTTTCTGTTTGCATGGTTCAGATACTAGCAGGACTGACAAGAGACACATTTACCCTATAGGTAAAGAAACTGAACTTTTAGGACCATCCCTTGCACAGACCTCTTCTAAAGCACTGGAGGTGCACTAGAGCCCCAGCAATGTGATAATGTGGTCATGGCTTTTTGTAAAATATTTTGAACAAAATATTTAAACTGCAATTGGTTAAGATTGAGGTCCCTTTTCTTTCTGACTTCCCCTCCATTACACTTCTTCTTTTGTCAGGTGGCAGTGGAAATGCCATGGATATTTGGGGATTGGCTAGGGAAGTTAATTTGAGGATACATTTAGTTTGGGGTTAGTAGTTTATTAGTAAGTAGTTTAATATTAAGCATAGTGTTATAGGCTGAATGGTGTTGTTCCCCCCCCCCCATTCATATAGTAAAGTCCTAATTCCTAGTACTTTAGAATGTAAGTGTATTTGGAAATAAGGTCTATAAAGAGGTAATTAAGTTAAAACGAAGTCTTCAGGGTGAGTCCTAACCCAATATTACTGGTGTCTTTACAATAGGAAATTTGGACACAGACATGAACATAGGAAAGACCATGAGAAGCTAGGGAGAAGATGTCTGTCTATAAGCCAAGGAGGGGAACCTCAGAATCAAGTCAACTCTGCCAATGCCTTGATCTCAGACTTCTATCCTCTACACTGTGGGAGAATTTCTGTTGTTTAAGCTACCCAGTCTGTTGTATTTTGTATGGCAACTCCAGCAGACTAATACATATAACTTCTAGGTATAATCCTAATGTCAACAATTCAGAGTATATGGCATTAATCATTACAAATTTGAAGTGCTCTGAAATTTTACACCACAAATATCAAAGAAATTTGAGTGTTTTCTTCAAGTTTGACAAAAATCCTAAAAATTATGACATTACCACTTATAAAGTGCGAAGGTGAACATTTTCTAAATCACTAAGAATTTTTAAAAAGTGATCATGTAGAAGACTGAATTACCTTTCTATACTCCTTATAGAAAACATTATATATATAAGCATCATATGAAAAAATATTAAAGAGTATGCAGCCAAAAACAAAATTGTAAAAAAATATGTTAAGTAGACACTTAAAAAATTGTGTTATTTTTCTTGATTTTATGTTATATTTGTCAGCTCTTTAAAAATTATAATTTAGGGGCACCTGGGTGGCTCAGTCGGTTAAGCGTCCGACTTCAGCTCAGGTCATGATCTCACAGTTTGTGAGTCTGAGCCCTGCGTCAGGCTCTGGAGCCTGCTTCAGATTCCGTGTCTCCCTTTCTCTCTGCCCCTCCCCTGCTCACACTCTGTCTGTCTCTCTCTCTCTCTCTCTCTCAAAAAATAAACAGTAAAAAAATTTAAAGAAATAAAAATTATAATTTATATTTTCTCATTCTAAAGCACTTTCATTGTTGGGCCTAATGCATTTATTTTTCTTTTCAAAAGGCTCTGAAAGTTGTATGTTTCAAGCACCCAAAAACTTCGATCTACCTCTGGGACTACCCAAATGGATATGGTGAGTTTCTGCCTCATTTAGGGGAACCATCCTCCACTGTTCTGTGCCTTGTCTCCTGAGAAATACAAAAGCTGAGTGCTAACCAATCAGAACTGCAAGTCTTGAGGAACTGGGATATCAAAAGCTGCAGTGAAGGAGTTTGTGAAAGGATTTCAGAAAGACCTACCACTAAACTAAGATGTGAGACGTCTGGAAAGACATTAGGGCCACAGAGGGACCTTAGGCAATAAGCCATGGAGAAAACTCCTGCAACACCCCCACTTACCTCTCCTTGGGTGTCTGCTCCTCATGCTGACTCTACCCTTTAGCCTATCTGGTTTCACAATATAAGTATGGGTGCTCTGCAGTGACATCACAACTTGGCCATTATGATGTAATGCAGAGGCCTCTGATTCTTCTCAGGCTAGGGCTTCCCTATTAGAAATGTCGTCTCATTACTTTGTGGGTAATTGAATTTTCTCATCGTTCAGGTGATATGGAAATCAATTTTATGTTAGAACTTAATTTTTTCAAGGATACCTCACTTTAATCTATTGTTCCATTCTGGATTAGACAGAGGTCCTTGCTTTCCCTCTCCATCATATTTCTCATCTTTTGCCTTAGGGTTGCCCTTGATAGAGAAAAGGGCTTTCCTCTTCCCTCCAGTGCTTAAGGAGAAATGTAACTTAGATTGCCTCCTTAAGGAAGAATAGCCACCCCACCCCACCCAAGGGGAAACTTAGGGCTTCTACCCAAGCAGTACCTTTTAACTGCACCAGGAATTGGCACTGGGTGCCAGGGAACTAAAGCTGGACCCTCGTAATTTTCCCACCACTACCCAAAATGGTGGCAGGATTATACCGGGGTGTGTCATACCAGGGCTGTCCAACTCCTCCATATCTTCTGCCCATCCAACTTTTGCATAGCAATAGGACACCAGCAAGTAGAGAAATGAGATGACCAAGAAATGGAGGTTGGGAGAGAGGAATCTTGCCTCTGGGTTTCTTGCCACCCTCCACCCCAAACAAACAATTTCTCAATATTATATGATATACTTTCATATTTTGACTTTATTTCACATATGAGGTCTTTTATCCAGAAGGAAGGGTAGTTGCATGTGGAAGCTGAAGTGAGGCACAGAACTAGTGGGTTTGGGGCCCAGTGAACATGGCTACAATGTGAACGGTATGAGGATGCTCTGGGAGGGCCTGATGAGAACAGTGGTTTGGGGGAATTCACAAAGCAAACTTTAATTTCCTCTCCAGGTTAGTCAATGGGTGGATTATACCATGTTTTTAGCAACTTCACTGTTCCTCAGCAATATCACCCAA